ATTTTTAAGCTAGAGCTATAAATCAAAATATTTATCAATATTTCCTGGATAATAGGATTACGGCTGCAAAAGTCCCCTGCAAATTGTGGCGTCGCAAGGTCATAGTGAAGATCACAAAAGAAATTGATGGAGAGAAATTAAGGTACTAAGATAAAAAGTTTGTTTCTAGATGATATCTTTTTGAACCATATGTCCAAACTTTACCAAACTTAGTTTGAAAAGGCTATTTCGACAGAACAAGATTTCTATTTATCAGAGGATCAAGTAGCCAACGGTCAAGGACACAGTACCTATTTTACTCAATATGCAAGCGCTGCTGGAATGTCGCTTCACTGAAATGTAAAGTTCAAAATGGGAAAATATAGATATCATCTCTTTGTCGTAAAGTTTTAGATGGCAACCTCCCCTGGGTGTGATTAATGATTGAGATAGGCTTAACTGTAACTGAGGTATCGTCATAACAAGTTCGTTGAGATAGATGTAGTTAACCTTGTCGACGAACGTTGAATTACTCATCTATATTTGGCGAATCAAAGATCAGTTAAAGGATAAACCCAGTTATTTTCATGTGTCTTCTTCCTACGGGCAGTAAAATGCTTATCCAAGTCACGGGGCGTCCATTTGGCTGTGCAGTATGTACAACTCTTCAGTATTCAAATTACAAAATATGTTTATTACTACCAAAGAATACTGTAATAAGACTCTTATAAGTATTATCTTTATCATAAGAATTGAAAATTATTTCCACGATAGTGATCCTAGCATGTATGTATTTAGCTATGTAAATAGAAATTGTGCATGATTTTAATTTAGAGAGCACATTACATGAAGGGAACTAATGATCAGATATCGACATGAGTTATTATTCTCTGTGTGTTGAGGTTAGTAGGATGGAAAATACTTGATTAAGAGTTCTCATGTTCTCGCCTTTTCTTCTGCTATTAAATAATGAAAATATTTCATATAACTTAAAAGCTAAGTTTTTTTTTAAACCGTCATTTTTCCACGATGTAATCCGATTATTGATTTAGTTTGCATGTTACCACCAATATAAAAGAATTCTATGCGACTGTCACACAAGTGAAAGGTTTAGCTAACTATAAAACCAGATATAATCCACCATTTTATACACAAGGAAATGCTTGTACCAAGTCATGAATATGACAGTTGTTTTCCATTCGTTTGATGTTTTTGAGCTTTTGATTTTTCCATTTGATAAAGGATTTTCCGTTTTGAATTTTCCGTCGAGTTCGGTAATTTTGTTATTTTACTTTTTGCACGTCTAAACTTGAAACTACTACACAACGTTGATATTGGTTTTATTGGTGTAACATTTGGTGTAGAATTAACTAAATGTTTCCCACAAATACAACCTTTAAAGTGTTATAAATTACGGTTTATGACAAACATTTTACTTCGTCAATGAGATCGGAATCACATTTGATTTATCATAAATGTAAGTACCGTTAAGTTTATTTGAACGAACCATTTGCAGATAAATAGTATGGCGTATTATACAACAGTCTGTCATTACTTATGTTCAGATACGTAATACAATGTACCGAAATGAATATCAGTATACGTAATTAGTCCTTATTACGGTTAATAATTCATCTAAGAGTAATATCTTATATATTCAAAATGAGTTTTGCTTATAATGTTATTTGTTTATATCAAATCAGAATGACAAACTTCTCAGTGTTTGTCATTTGATGATTTCTGTATAGCTTCTCTTATTTATGCGACATCTCCAAAGATAACAGCATATGGTATTGATGCAAAACTGTACAAATGGTTTGAAAGGTATATTGAATACTAGATTCAAAATCAAGCAGCTGAATATTTCTCATCTAACAAACATTAAGGAAATACTTTTGATAATAAGGATACATTACCCACACAGAAAACATACTTCATTGTGAAAGTACAAGATTACATGTCCTTGATAAATCGAAATATGATGTTTTATATTGGGAAACTAACATAGATAATAGGATTGAAATTTTGAACGCCAGACGCGCGTTTCGTCTATAAAAGACTTATCAGTGAGACTAGAATAAAACAAAGTCAAAAAGGCCAAATAAAGTACGAAGTTTAAGAGCTTTGAGGACCCGAAAAATTGAGAAAGGTATTTCCAAATACAGAAAAATGTAAAATCACAAAAATACTGAACTCCGAGGAAAATGCAAAAAAGAAAATCCCTAATCAAATGGCAAAATCAAATGATAAAACACATCAAACGAATGGACAACAACTGTCATATTCCTGACTTGGTACAGGCATAAAGGTACAGGTAAAGATAATCTATTCCTGAGATAGAAAATCTTTAGCAAAAGATTATCTTGCTCGTATTTATTTGACATTTATGAGAACAATCATGGAATATGCATTTGAGTTACGGCACTGTTACTAAACATTATTCTTGTCGAGTTGGAAGCAGGAGGAGGAAAAGTAATAGGATTGCAAGTATATGCTAGTCGCGTACTTATTCATTTTGATACACACTGGCAATTGTTAGCATACAGAAGAATGTCCTCAAAGCGAGATTTACTTGATATAGAGTATCAAATTGCGGGTAAAAAAAAAGATAGTCGGGTTGCGAGTTAAAAAAAAGTCGAGTTGCGAGTTATAAACCTCGAGTAGCGAGTTACAAAAGCCGCGTTGCGAGATAAGAAAGTTGAGAGAAAGAAAAAATATGACTGAGCTTAATTTTGACATTGACTCAGTATGACGTTTTGTCAAAAATGCAGAAACATTTTGAGGAAGATTGGAAAACTAATGTCAACAAAACTTCTATCAATACAAGTAGAGGAGGGAATAAACTGCGTACATATCTTTTTTAAGTTCCAAATTTAGGCAAAGCACAATTATAAAATTTTGATGGCATTTTTTCATTGCAGATTCATTTCTCTAAATTTAGATGTGGCATTTCCACTTTACTTTAAATATTGATTTAACTGTTAAAGAAAATAACAATTTATTAATTGTGTACGACCGACGCGATTTTCTGGATTTACTTTCATCAAGAACGCTCAAATCCAAACATTTGATTATCAACAATGTGTAAGATCTAAACAAGGGACTTTAAAAATAGACAATTTCATCTAAGGTCAACTTTGTTAAGTGGATAAAACTGGACTCAACCATACAGATCAATAAATTGCACAAAAGTGGTTTACAGCATTTGCAAAAGAGTATTACATAGCAATAAGAGTATGACATAGCAATAAGAGTATGACATAGCAATAAGAGTATGACATAGCAATTAGAGTATGACATATCAATAAGAGTATGACATAGCAATAAGAGTATGAAATAGTTAAAAAGAGTATGACATAGCAATAAGAATATGACATAGCAATTAGAGTATGACATAGAAATAAGAGTATGACATAGCAACAAGAGTATGACATAGCAATAAGAGTATGACATAGCAAAAATGTATGACAAAGCAATAAGAGTATGACATAGCAATAAGCGATCCAATAATACACATCCTATTTCTCTGTCCCAAATGAAATTATATACAAAAAATACTTAACCATGCAGCACAAACTATTAGATAGTTTCCTTTACTTAGTTCTATGGTTCAGTTTCCCTAACATTGAACACAAATGATGGATCCAGGAGTGGGAGATTAAAAAAAAGGACGGCAGTTAAAATAAATACAAATGTAATGAAAACACACACAAATATTCTGTAAAAATGAGGTCCGGGGACCTTGGCCACGCTGAACCCATATCTTGATTCGTTTATCATGGTTTCACCTGTCCGATAAGGAACAGTTTATTATTTTGAAAGGAGGGCTCTAAGTTTTAAGCTTGAATTCACATTTTCTCTATGCATTGTGTATTGTTTGACAAGGAAAATCTTAATATATTTTTGTTATTGCATTCATTATCTCCTAAAGGAAAAATCATATTTTTGTTATTGCATTCATTATCTCCTAAAGGAAAAATCATATTCTCCTCAATTACTATTCCATATGCGTCGATTTTATCTCAATGTTTTGGATATATCAAATACATGTGTGTCGAAATAAATTTCCCTTTTTTAAATGAATATTTTTCTCTCTGTTCTGTCCAAAACCTGATTTAGACAAAATTCAGCATCACAGTATTTTAGGGAAAAACCATAGTATCCAATTGCTCTGTCTTACGGTGGTTTCCAACATAATTCATTCAATTTCTAATTTAGTATTGTAAAGGCATGCATAGTCAAACAGACTTATTTTTCTATTGAAATATACGGCTGTTTCATTGCGGCATTCTGTTTAATTTGGTTTTCAACATTAACTTCGTATTCGGTTAATTTTAAATTGTTTTATAGCGTTAAAAATTAAGGTAATTATCAGGCGTATATTAAACCAGATCTTATATTATTATAATAATTAAGATTTACACAATCGATTTACGTAAGAGTAACTTGACAGAAAATACGAAATATATTAGCATGACAAAGATTCCCATGTTTACGTTTTTAACATGACCCTTTTTCAAATCTTATTTCCAACACTTATTATTCGTCCTACATCATGACACAATTAAACAACACAAAGAAGATAAAGTAATAATATGACCGACCGGACCGGGGGAACGTGATTGGTAGCAATCTCCAGGTGATAGACACTGCCATGTTCTTGTCCATCTTTCGTCTTTACTACTGTCTCAGCTATTGCCTTAATATGTACATAATTACAAACATACTGAATTCATTATTTATCGTTAAAATACATTAGAAAATTGTTTGATTGATTAATTTTGCTGCATATTGATGAATAAACAGAAAAATATATGCCTTCACTCATTAAAATCAATTTTCAGGGTGTTCTTGATAGTTCTATGCATGATACATTTTCCTGAAATCAATATGTTTTGCATTTATCTTCAAAAGGGTTTCATTACATGATAAAAAGTCATGTTTAACAACAACATTAATGTTATGCTAAAATGATGTTAATTAATTATTAAGATATGTCTTATTGTTTTCTTCTTTTTCAGGATAAGAGTGAGAGCTAACATGTTTGGGATTGAAGGAAGATGTTTTTACGTCAACGTTGTCTTCCTGCCCATCGAATACATAGACATTTGTTGATGACAATATTTGCTACATCATGTTTTCTATGTTTTACTTTATTCACACACCCGTTAATAATGGTTCATAATAGTTGCGTGCATTGTTCTGTTTCAAATAACTATTTACAAGAAATCGTTCACGAAATTTACACAAATGGATCTTCTACCAAGCAACCCGTTAACCCAACCAATATCGAATATATTCACAAACCATTACATATTTGTGATCTGCATACAGGGCCGGATTTTTTATTAGTGCTAGTGAAATCAGATGCTTCGAATATTGCTCATCGAATGTCCATCAGACAAACATGGGGGAATATATCACATTCTCATATAAAAGTTATATATCTTTTAGGATATTATAGTGTTGTTCAGGATATGATTGACATAGAATCTGAAACATACAAAGATGTTTTACAAGGAGATTTTGTTGACATTTACGATAACAATATGAACAAAACAGCTATGGCTTACCAGTATGCTGTAGAAAATTGTGACAATACTCAGTTTCTGTTTTTCGTAGATGATGACTTTTTCGTAAACATTTTGAATGTTAATAAGTATTTAAAAACACTTACTACTCCTTTCAAATCGAAACTGTTTTCCGGATGTATTATTAAAAGAGCGAAGCCGTTTAGGAATAAATCTTCGAAATGGTACATCACTCGAGAGGAATACCCGTTTGATATTTATCCAAACTATCCGTCCGGTGGTGCTATACTCATGTCGATGACTATAGCTAAGTTATTAAAAACGGCATTTCCATATGTGCAATATATTCATATAGACGACGCCTATCTTGGAATAGTGGCTAATAAACTCAAACTTCCATTACATAATGATGAACGATTTGATGCTGTGTATACACCACCTATGCGGTTGAAAACTATTTTTGCATCTCATGGCTATGGAGACCATAGACAAATTTTGGTTATCTGGGATGTCTTTCTAGCTACAATGTCTTTAAATTCATCCACAGATCTCAATAAACAGTTACGCAAATCATGAATACGATAGTTTTAGGTTAACAAATTATTTTGAATTGGTATTTTTTTTAAATCTTTTATTAAAGCTTGAGACGTCATGCCTTACATTTTTTAATGATAATCACATACACATAGAGATAATGATATATTTTTCTTGAAGTATCAGATAAACGAGATTTCATTCTTGAAATCCAGATCAAGTTTATTTTTATGAAAAAGAAATTAAAATTTGAAACCGGAACTGAAAGAAACCAAAGCATTCATATTTCAATTCCGTTGCAATTAATTTGTCAAAAGTTATCATTTCAGTTTTTATATATAAAAAAAAAAAAAAGTCGGAAGAATTGGGTGTTTGAGGTTGGTGCGGTCTGTTCTATGGAATATATAAGCATACATGTCAGGATTTTCTCTAAGATATAAAAGGAAAAACAGAATTTGAAATGCTATCTCAATTGTAGAGTGTTAGCTTCTTAATCAAACTTCACAATAAATATCAGTGATTAAGATAAATAACAAGCTCTGATGATCAAAACATACACCTAATTGATTGTTCGATTGGTTTTAATTTGCTTAACGTCCAGTGGCAAATATGTATGCACATTCAAGACGACACCAAAATAACATAGACCTATAAGGTGGGGTCTGCAAAGTGGTCGACCGCGATGAACAGTTGGAAATTTTGACAGCGACGGAAAAATTTGAGCATGCTTATTTTTACAAGTGATGTTATTGTCATTGTACGTCATCCGTCAGTTGTTCGTTGTAACTAGTTATACTAGTATTTATTATGAATTTATTATGATAATTCTTTTAAAATTTGAATCAGTCATATTTACAGTAGGTGTTCAATTCATACAAATGCTCATCTTTTATTAGCTGAAAGACGAATCAGTTGATTCCGTCATATGTTTTCAATTTGTACGAAAATAACCCATGGTGTATGAAAATAACACAAGAGTAGAAAATCTGCCTACCTAATCAATCAACACTATTTTTTTGGCATTGTTCGTTTACTTAGTTTAAACAGATGTGCTTTTTGAAAAACGCAAATTTGATTGTTTTGTAAAAAATTATAGTTGGCAATTAATATTGTAAATATAAATAATTGATATAAATATATATAGCAATACATCATTATCCTATGATATACATGTATTATAATGATTGAAATTTGATAAATATTTTAGGATCCATCTACTTTGAAATTGACATCTTCATTTTGCCAATTTCATCTATATGACGTATAATTATTCCATGTGAAATGATCCTGCTTTCAGCTCTGTATATAAGAATAAGGTTTTGATATGATTGCCAATGAGAAAACTATCCACTAGAGTTCAAATGACGAAGATATAAGCAATTACAGGTCACCTAACGGCCTTAAACAAAGCGATCGAAAAAATATACCGAATAGTCAGCTATGAAATGCTCGACATCAAAAACGTGAAAAAATTTAAATAAGAAAACAACGGCCTAATTTATAACAATACAATTTACGAAAAAAATTAATATGACAGAGATGAACCAACGATAACCACTGAATTACGGGCTACTGGCTTGGGACAGGCACTTGAGGAATTTGGGGCGGGGTTAAACATGTTTGTGAGCGCTCAACCCTCCCCTAACCTAGGATATTGGCGTAACAGCACAACATAAGAACAAACTGTAAAAATCAGTTGCAAATGGTTCGACTCAATTGATCGATGCAAAAAAAAAAAAAAAACAACAAAAAACATACATTTGTCATTTCGGGGCCTTTTGTAGCTGACTATGCGGTAAGGGTTTTGCTAGGCCGTATGGTGAACTATAGTTGTTAACTTCTATGTCATTTGGTATCTGGCGGAGAGTTGTCTCATACCTCATACCGCATCTTCTTATTCTTATGTAAACAAGAGACACAAATCACTGATATAAGAGTACTGGCAGTCACTGAATACTAGTTCAAAGCAAATTACAACTAATAAAAGAATCATGACAATATCTGTCGAATTTTTGTGGTCAGATCCAAATTTTTTATTCCGAAAATCTGTAAATTTAATAATTGACTGCTGTGTTTTAGAAAATTTACATTTTAATATGAAGGCAGTATCATTCCACGTGAAAGCAATTATAGTACGTCATAAAGCTGAAATCTGCATATGAAGATTTCGTTTCAAAATAGATAGCTCGTAAAATATTTAGCAAATTTCAATCAGTATTGTGAATAAATATCCGAGGATAATAATATATTGCTGTATATGTATATCAACTATCTATTATTATATTTCAAGATATATTGTCAACTACTTTCTTCAGATGAATTAAATGAGCGTTTTATTTCCAGAGCATTAATACCGTTTGGTAAGCGGAACAAATAATTCTATCATATTGGGTTGCTTTCATACGGCATGGATAGCTTTCATATACGGCTTGTGTTGTTTTCATACGAAATGAAAGCATTGACGGAATCAAGTGATTCGTTTTTCAACCATTATAATAGCACAGGTAAAAATTGGCCAAAGCACGAGATGGTTAAGGTACGAGCTTACTCACACCCGTATCATTGTTTTTCAACAGAGACATTATTTGATTCTCTGGTCACTGTAGTAAAAAATTGTCAAAGTTCCATAGCTCCTACTCAAAATGTCAAATCAAAATAATAGTAGCGTGAGGTCAACTACAGATGTTGATCCAGATTTTGAAAGGGGGGACAACAACTCGACAACTTTAGGAGTGGGACTTGTAATAAGTCTATGCATTAACCATATATGTAGCTCCCCCCTAAATCGGTCTCTGAACTTCATATTATTACAAACAATCCTACCAAGAATTACGACTTCTGTCGAACGGCTTCACAAGATCTCATTTTGTTACAATAACAAGAAAAAACTGTCGAAGACTTATTCCTGCAAACAATTTCAACTAAACACGAAGATAAATAGTCATACAAGTATGTAGGCTTTCAGACAGAGGGTCTTAGAGAAGTAGCATCCAGACGATATCATTGTGTTACAATAGTACAAAAATAGTCAGAATAACACAACTCCTGCAAACATTTTCAAAAACAAAATGATAATACAGTGTGGTCAACAACATATGATAAACAATCCTACATAGCCGGTAATGTTTTTTTGGCAAACGAATTCAGAGTATGGGTGCATGCGTTACGAAAAGGCAGACAGAGAGATGAATGGGTTTAATGAATAAGACTATTATTATAGATGACTATTAAATAAAAGGAGATTTGAGATATGCAACGATGGGCCAACAAACTTATAATATCTGAGGATTTGTCTCGTTTGCTAATAATGATAGTAATCCTAATTCAAATGGGATTTTATAAGACATTAGTGCTTTTCAGACATGTTTGTTGTTATATGGCACATGCATGTCCTTGTTTTGGCGATACTTCTATTGGTGTTGAAAAAATTGCACCACACCATAAAAAATCTAAACGAGAAACAAATATATCTGAACTACAAAATTACAGTCGGAATGCTGAGAAAATAGATTGCAAACATTCACCAGTATCTTTGATGAGATTTTAACAACCACTGGGTCGATGCAACTGTTGGTGGAAGTTTCGTCCCCGAGGGTATAGTCATATCAGTACTCAGCACTTCTGTATTAACAAAAATACCTAACTCTAAGGAAAATTCAAAATGGGGAAGTCCATAAGAACTGACAAATTCAAACGTTAGACTTTATCAACCAACCGAACGAATTATCATTGACATAATCATATCTATAACTGAACTGTTTACACAACTTTGAAATACTCGAAATACTAAGGATTTTCTACCCAGTAAAAAGTAAAATAACAAAAATACCAAACTCCAACGAAAAACTCAAAATGGACAGTCCCTTACCTAATTGCAAAATCAAAAGCTCAAACACATCAAACGAATGGAAAACAACTGTCATATTCCTGACTTGGTACAGGCATTTCCTTATGTAGAAAATGGTGGATTAAACCTAGTTTTATAACTAGCTTAACCTCTCACTTGTTTTGACAGATTAATTTAGATGTATATGGCAAAACCTTTCGGACGTTTGGGTCATCAGTTCCCATTTTTTTGTGTGTGATTTTTTGTGAATATAGTCGCTGGTTTCTTTGATCTGTTTTTATTTCTCCAACATCAATAGCACTACCGATCTAGCCGTGGAAGCTGCAAATAATAAACTCTTTTCCTCATGATTTAAAACACTTTAAAACCCTAAAGGGGAATAGGAATACTTCTTAAATCAGCACGTAAGCATTAAGATTTAAGCCATGAGGCTAAGAGTACCTTGATATTTTTTTAAAGCGCATTAACCAGCTTCAATAAAAGTTGAAAAAACGTTTAAGCAAAAATGAGCGACTAGTATAAAAAGGGAGATGTGGTATGATTGCCCCCGAGACAATTACCACCAAGTCTAGTTGAAATTCAGTGGATAGTATTCAATCTGGTCCTGAAGTCCTCCCAAAAAACCCGGATCCATTACAAATTCTTGTAGTTTGATCCATTCTATCAGTGTTCTCGAAAAGAAAGAATTAATAATAACCATCTGTCTTCACTCCTGTTTGTCTAACTTTGTGACTGCCTCTGGTTCTAATGTCCCCTAATGTTCAGTACTTGGCTAGAATAATTGTAATCAACTGGTGTATGATCTTATTACATAGAACAAAGCACGATTTACATCGTCTGTACTGCCTGAGACTACTATAACACTATGTGTTATAGTAGTCTCAGGTACTGCATATCCAGTAGCGGCTTCATTACAATTCTAACAAATTAATTGTCCTTATAACAGTTAAAAATACAAACTGATCGTCTATGTAAGTTTTCGCTGTTTCTTGTGGTGGTTAAAATTGTTGCTGGTCCCATACTGGAGAAGTATATTCTAAGGTTGGTCTTACTAGGATTGCGTATCACCCTGTATAGCCACGATACCAATAAAACCGGAAGTTGTGCGTTGCAAAGCGAAACTTGATTCAGACATTATTTTGGCTTTTGGATTTCTAAAAACTAATGTGAGCAAATATTGAGTCGTAAAGGTACATAGTAGTTTATCTGATCATTTATAAAATTGTTGTACCTTTCCGACTTTGTATACTTTGTATATGACGTTTGAAAAAGCGACTAGAATCAAAATTTAAAACGCACATTCATGATGTGATTTTAGGCTCGGTTTAAACTAAACTGCATGCATGTTGAATTAATTATCCCACATTTACTTTTATGAAAGGATCCTTTAAACTTGTTAAACGATGATAAAAAATAACACGCACAAGAACCATCAAGCTTCAAATGTGGCCTAGAATTAAGAAGAAACAAGATATCATACTTTTAAATAAGTTCATCTAATCGCTCTTTGTCACTGTATATTTTGTTGACAGAAACCATAGTGATTCTCATCCGACGCTGTCCTCTAATCCTTGTTATAATGACAGTTGCTATAATATGGTCAGATAAGCTTAGGTGCAACATGATTCGTTATATTCTTTGAGATAAAAGCTGGTACATCATCTGGTCCAGTATTTTTACGTAGTTTTTGGTGTCTATGGAGTTTTGTGACACCTTCCTCATTAACTTTATGAATGGAACTAGCTTTTAAGAATTTCAGCTTTGGTTGGTGTATCGCTGTGAAGGTACCCATTTTATTTTTTAGAGGTATTATTCCTGAAGATTTCTGGTTTCCGGGTCTTGTTATATATATATGACCAAAATCTTTTGGGATTGTTGTGAATGTCAAACTTTCTAAGGTATTATATCTTGTATGAATTTGTTATGGCCCCTCTTGATTCATGTTGTAATTCTGTTTTGACATTCTTGTATCTTTCCCAGTCTTTTGAGGAGTTGTGTTGTGCTTTGGTGTATGATCTTTTTGTTTGTCTACCCATTCGCCTTATTGTTAGTTCATCCACGGGTGGCTTTGTCTTGTTGCAAGTGGAACATTTTTCCTTAGAAAGTCTCTAATAATATTTGTATTATTGCCCACAGGGTGTTGATGCCATCAATAGGGTATTATTTAATCTATCAATATAAATAAAAGGAGAAGTAGTATACTAGTAATTGCCAATGAGAAAAGTCTCCATAATTACCAAAATGTGTTGTCTAGATATTTCCCCATGCCGTTATATTCCCGTATATAGTAACACAAAGAAACATGATTGCAGGTCACTTTTTTGTTATAAAACTGATTTAAGACTTAAAAGCCAATGCACTATTAATATTGATATTTCAGGTGAAAAGAAACTAGACGCTATAAGGAGCCTGTTTTGCTCACCTGGCGTTTCTGTAATTGAAAATTATACTTCATGGTACTTAATGTTGTTGTCCGGTACAGGATCCTTACGGTTTCTCTGCACCAGACTCATTTAATGAGTTTTAACCTCTATTATTTTGGTTGCTGCTTCCGGTTAATTCAGCTCGATAAGTTATCAGAATAATAGATTTTTTCGATTTCCCAATGCTTATCAAGTCTATTTTTGAAAGCGTTTATTGATATTATAACTTTGTTGTGCTATGTCTATATTCTGTATTTGCTATTAATTTGAGAAATGTACTTGTTTCTGGGTGGTATTTTCAATTTAATATCTTAAATGTCTCTATCGAGTCCCCTCTGATTCTTCTATATGACAATGTAAATAGCCTTAGTTTCTTCAGTCTTTCTGTGTAACTTAATTTGTTGAAACCTGATAGTTGTCGCTCTTTTTTGTACATATTCAATTTTATCTTTATATTTTTTTTTTTAAAAGATGCCCATAATGAACTAGCATAGTCTAAGTGCGTTCTCACTAATGTTTTGTATAGTGGAAGGAAAATGTCAGCATTTAGATTTTTTAATGATACAATGCAACAATAAAATTTCTATTGAATGGAAACTGTGTGGGCAATTCCTCTCCTGTTGTCGATTTCGGCCCTGTTGAATTATTTGTATATCTTGTCTTGCCGATCATTTTTGCTGTTTAAAATTTCTCCGTCACTATTATGTTTTCAAGATTATAGCCCAAATTTTCCAAAATGGGTAGTAGTCGTCATTTAAGGGCAACAAATTCTATTAAGAGTTGCCCGACCACTTTGGCCACATGATTTATTTGTAGATTATGTCTTTTGGATCAATTTTGCTCTTGAAAGTTTCTCTCTATTTATTAGTATAATGTATACAGTTTTAACTCTGCCTTTTTTATTGTTTGCAGATGTCAATCTTAATTACAATGCTTGAGTAAACATTTATACAAACAAAGCAGGCAATCCAACCAAAGTCTCATTCTACAAGCATTAGGAAATTAGCTCTAAGTAATATTGTTGGCTTAGACTGGCCTTTGGGGGCAGGTGAGCTAGAAACCAATAAACATAACCTTACTTACACAAATCTTCTTTTTTCCTACACATATTATACAGCTGTATATCAACCAGGATCCAAGATGTTGCTGTGGACCTGCATAAGTCTTATATTAATAAACTGTTATCACAGAGATATGTCTCACCTTTTTGTAATTTTGATAATGCAAATGTTGATATTTAAATAGCAATACTTTAACATGTAAGTTATGCAAATATTCAAAGTCGATGAACCATGACTGAAGGTACATGGCTAAACAATCTCCATGGAATGAGATGTGCCAATGCTAATACAACTGCATACCAAATACCATTGACTTATTATAAGTCGTTCCCTTTAAACAAACCTAAACACAAAGGTTTCAAAGTCAATGAACCATGATCAGGGGTGGGGCTATATAATCTCCATGGAAACGATACTTGAAAATGCCAATAAATTTGCATACCAAATATCATTTACTTAACGTTAGCAGTTCATCTTAACCTGAACTAATCACAAACTAATACATGTAAACTAAGCAAAAGTTTCAAAGTAAATAGACCATGACTGAGGGGGCAGGGCCAAATATTCTCCATGGAAATGAGATGTGCTAATGCTTATATAACTGAACACCAATTAACATTGGCCTACCAATAATGGTGCCCCTTGAACTGACCTAATCACAAACTAATACATGTTAACTTAGCAAAATTTTCAAAGTCTATAGACCATGACTAAGGGGGCGGAGCCAAATAATCTCCATGGAAATGAGATGTGCCAATGCTTATACAACTGCATACCAAATATCATTGACCTACCACTAGTGGTTCCCCATAAATTGACCTAATCACAAACTAATACATGTAAACTATGAAAAGTTTCAAAGTCAATAGACCTTGACTGAGGGGGCGGGGCCAAATAATCTCCATGGTAATGAGATGTGCCAATGCTAATACAACTGCATACCAAATATCATTGACCTACCACTAGTGGTTCACCATGAACTAGACCTAATCACAAACTAATACATTGTTGATGCCGCCGCCGCTGTCGACGCCGGAAACAGCATACCTATGTCTCGCTTTTAGACTCCGTCAAAGCGAGACAAAAATTAAAAACTATACCTACATATTTTGATCTCGTCTGTTTACCTCAACCTATTTACTGTCATCAATTAGGCAGTAAGATAGTAGGTATTTCAAAGCCTTGAACAGTATATGTAAAAATGGAAATATTTCTTTCAAGTATTATAGCAGATGTTTACAAGATGGTACACCTAAAAGGAATTTATTTGCTGTAAAAGATGGAGATCTACATTGAAAGGAAGCAGGGAATTTCCAGCTTAAGATGTGTTTTATTCATGTTATTTTACATTTGTAATCGGTGTATGTTGTCTTAAAAATTTTATGTTGTATGTATATTTTTTATATGACATTTAATTAAATTAACAGGTAAAAAATTTACTTTGTTCTTATATTTTGTAGATAACATACTTAGTGGCTTACAATTGTCTGCTATTCATTGAGTCAGAAGATTAACAAAGAAGTAACACATTATTTGGATCTTCACCTGTCCGGTGTTTTACAAGAAAGTAACTTATTTTAATTATCAAGTCTCTTCGGGCTTTCACAAAAGTACATAATTTCATAGGCCTGTTTGAACGTCTTTCGAATATAGTTTTTTTTCTATTTTCTACTCTTGTTTTGTTTGTTTGCAGGCAGTTGTTCGATATTAATTTTTTTTTTAGGGCCCATTCGTATTATTTTATTCCTGTATATATGTAATAGATCTGTGTAATGAACTTGTACAAAATTTAGGCCAAAAAATAAACTTTTTATTTATTTTGTTTTCTATACTGATCCAGAGATAATGATAGAGGAGGCCCCAAGTTAGTTATGCTAATCTATAAGTGCCCTGGGCACACTATGGGTCCATTGTGTCTAGATCATTTGTGGGATGGAGCAAAAACAAATAATTTGGGATGATGCAGAGGCAAACTAAAATGGAAAAATAATATTCTAAGCATGTAAATATATTTAATGTATCTATAAAGCTTAAGAACTTTTAATGTAAGTTACAGTATGATATCACAGACACATAACATGAATCAGAAACTTACAACATAAACTTAATACAATTAAAAATAGATAAAAAAAAGTGCATCCTCCCCAAATACACTAATATTCAATAAATATAAAAAAAAAAGAATTATAACATTATTCATTTTCTTTGCCTACCTGAGGATAGAAGACATTATACAAAGAGATAGGAAAATGCTGTTTTTGGTTGTTTTTAGGGGTTTTTTTGGGGGGGGAGGGGTTAAACCTAACAGAAAACAAGAGTGAAAATACTTGACATTTAACTGATATTAAACAAGTAAAACATTAAACTCAATAAGTGAGTACAGTATTTGCACATCCTTTTAGTACAGACATCCTTTCACAGTAACAAGATGTATAAATTATACCATATTCATACAGTTACTCCTATATAACAGTAATGTTTGTAATTGAATTATTTGATGATGGCAATGCAAATGTGTACAAATGACTTACAATGAAAATTTCTTTGACAAAAAAATCCAAGAAAATTTCAAAAATTAAATACTATTTGAAATTGAAATATTCATATTCAGTAGATAAATATTTAAAACTTTAAAAAAAAAATTTGTTTATCTTAGTTTTGGCATTATAATGTCATTAAAATCCAAGAAAAATAATAATTATTCATAATTCTAAATTGTGGATTACTAAATTTCTTAAATGAGCAGCAGAATTAAACTATTAGAAAAAATCCTCCACATGTATTTTTTTTTTCATTTTCGGAGAGTTGTTTTTACAGGTTTCTTTGAATTTCATCATCTACAAACAACTCCATGAATTTTCTAACATATGTTTTATTATACGATTCTTTGTTTGCGTCCACTGCCTTTTCTTGGTACTGTCATATTTCTCTTTATAAACATCCCTCCATCATCATTTGTTTTCTTTGCTTTTACAACTTTCTTTACTCTTCTGGTCCTCTGAACATAGTCATCTTCATCACTTGATTGGTACTAGTGAAATAAATAAAACAGATAGAAATAAATTTTGCTGAAAGAAAGTTCCATGTGTGGAAAAAATGGCAAAAATCGTTAAGTGCACAACTTCAATATGTGTCCAATCTATCTGTATAGTTTTAAGGATCTCGCTTGGAAACTGTTAAGAGGAGTTGATTAACAAAACTGGTACTGTCTTTTGTAAATCTTGCTAAAAAATTACTAAGTTCCAAAGTTTGAAAAAATGCACAAAAATAGTTTATGCATATTCAGAACAAATTCACATTAAACAATAAATTAGATGGAAAGTCAAAAACAAAAACTGTTACTGCTGTAAAAACAGAAGGAACATCATGCACACTATGGTGGGAGTACACAGTATTAATCTTAATAATATTCTGATTGTTTTTTTATAATAGAATTTGAGTTTACCATATTCTGACATTTTTTATTATGAATTATGTCATTTGGAACTTAAAGGGCCTAACATCTCAATTCTTGGTCATGGTTGTGAGGTTTATAAGACAATCGAAAGGATTTTATGCTAAGCCATGTAAACAATCAGTTTTTATCTTTAAACAATATTATAATATTTTTCTTATATCAAAAACTGCAACATTTCTTTTTTCCAAGAGTATGTATTCTCCACAAAAAGGAGGATAATTGTTTAAATCCTAAATCATCCCTAGCAAGAATGATTTGAGTTCACAATACAGGGGAGATAATTACTTACATCTTGGTCACTACCATATGTTCTAGCCTGTACTTCATACTTCAAGTCTGCTATTTCTCTCCTGTACTGATCTAGTTGTGCCTCTAACTTTTCTCTTCTCAATCTTTCATAGTCTAATTGTGCTTCTAACTCACTAATAGTCCTAAAAATCAAACAAGTAAATTAGAAAGATATCTACAGGAAAAATGTAAATTCAAATCTTTATTCTTCTATTTTTTACTTTCTGGTTCATAAAACTTTGTAGGAAAGCACCAACAAACCATGTTATGTGGATATTTTTTTCCAAGATTTTACTTATTTATTGAACTGATCTTTGATAAAAAAAAATCTAAAACACATCTTTTAGCCAGGATGGTATGCCTTTTTTTCCCTTATTTGAAAGTTAATATATATACAAGCAGTTGTAACACTTGCATTTGATACGCATAACAAAGCCTCTATTTTTTAAAAGCTTATGCAGAAAGATGATATCTCCTAATACCTACAAATTATCAAGACTAAGGAAAAATAGAGTATCTAGGAGATATAAGTTGCAATAACTTCAATAAAAAGTTATTGCAACTGCTTTAAATGAAATGACCACATCAAATTACTGGTATTTTTCCAATTTACAGTTTCTCTCTATCTTATATAGTTTCAAAACATAAGTAAAATAATTATAAACTGTTAACACAGAGATCTGTCTCGCCTGTTTGTTATTTTGATAATGCAAATGTTGAAATTAAAATAGCAATACTTTAATATGCAAGTTATGCAAATATTCAAAGTCAATGTACCATGACTGAAGGTACAGGGCTAAACAATATCCATGGAAATGAGATGTGCCAATGTTAATACAACTGCATACCAAATACCATAGACTTATCATAAGTTGTTCCCTTTCAACAAACCTAAACACAAACATTGACTTGTAAACTATGTAAAAGTTTCAAAGTCAATGAACCATGATGAGGTGGTGGGGCTATATAATCCATGGAAACGAGACTTGCAAATACCAATACATTTGCATACCAAATATCATTGACTTAACATTAGCAGTTCATCTTAAACTGATCTAATCACAAAACTAATACATGTAAACTAAGCAAAAGTTTCAAAGTCAATAGACCATGACTGAGGGGGCGAGACCAAGTATTCTCCATGGAAATGAGATGTACTAATGCTTATACAACTGCATAACAATTATCATTGACCTACCACTAACAGTTCCCCTTGAACTGACGTAATCACAAACTAATACATGAAAACGAAGCAAAAGTTTGAAAGTCAATAGACCATGAATAAGGGGGCGGCACCAAATAATCTCCATGGAAATGAGATGTGCCAATGCTTATACAACTGCATACCAAATATCATTGACCTACCACTAGTGGTTCCCCATAAACTGACCTAATCACAAACTAATACATGTAAACGAAGCAAAGTTTCAAAGTCAATAGACCTTGACTGAGGGGGCAGGGCCAAATAATCTCCATGGTAATGAGATGTGCCAATGCTAATACAACTGCATACCAAATATCATTGACCTACCACTAGTGGTTCACCATGAACTAGACCTAATCACAAACTAATACATTGTTGACGCCGCCGCAGCCGCCGGAAACAGCATACCTTTATATATGTCTCGCTTTTTGACTCTGTCAAGGCGAGACAAAAAAGTAGCCAAAATTAGCATTTCAAAACTTATTACTGCTTTGTCAGACTGTTTTATCAAAGTTTTTGTAAATCTTGTCTAAATATAAATACTAGAGTTCAAATGACACTGATATTAGCAATTATAGGTCACTGTACAGCCTTTAATAATGAGAAAAAACCCATACCATAATGTTATAAGATTACAATTTGCATAAAACAAATATGACAGACATGCATATTTTCAAAATCTACAAAAATTCTATAAATATGTCCAAAAAGCAAAAGTACACATTTAAAATGTATATACAAAAATTATAGAAAGAGTAAAGGCTATGGTTAGGAAACTATAAGAGTTGATTAAGAAAAGAGTACCCTCTATTTAGAATAATACTGAAATATTCATATTATCTTTCTTTGGAAAATCTGCAAAAATGTTCTCTATCTGCCATGTATATACAAAATTCTAGAAAGTCAGAAGGCTCTGGGTTAACTATATAAAATTAGTATCTTCCTTGAGAATATCTATTGACAATTGACATTCACAATCAAGAAAGTTTGCAAAAATTATCAAAATGTGAACACAAAAAAGAACATTTTCAATATGTATATGCAAATTTTCTGGAAAGTTTGAAGGCTCTGATTTAAAATCTTTTGGAGAATGAATACACAAAACAGGTACACTCTGTTCCATGCCTACCCACCTTCCTTATAGATAAACTATACACCAGATTTGTACTCGTTTTTATTCCACATGACTGGTTGATTGCTGCTTATTCTACATAATAACATGAATAATTGATTGATCTTGATTATTCCGCATAGTGACCAAGATTCTATATATTACTTACTTGTCTTTATCCCTTATTTCTTGCAGACGTTTTCTGTCTTCAGACAAACGCCCTCCTAATTGTGTGTAGTTCTTTTTGGCAATTTCTAATAATCTGTCTAATTCCTCAAGTTTTTCTTTTGCTCGTACTATAAAAAGAAATGTATTCCTCTTAATTTATACATAAATTCACCCTCTATATCTTTTAACTAGGCCTTCAGCATATCATGCATATCAGGATAAAAAATAGGTGATCAAGGTTTTCATATAAAATATTATCCAGCCAGACATTTTTCTATTCTGTAACTTGTCTCTTTTGCATTTGTAACAAACAAAAATTAAAGCAAATCAATGTGCCAAATTGAAGATAAAGGGGAAAGAATTTTGTCAAAACACAAGTAAATGACTACTTTGATATTTCTTAAACTGATAATGCATTCTGCTGTATGAAATGTCAGTACACATTAGTATGCTCTTCATTCTGTAAAATACACTGATCAGATAGTTAACCTTTGGTTTTTTATAGAAGGTTTTTTTTATACCACATGTAGAACAGGGAAAATAATCTATCCAATAAATAATTTGATGTGTACCTTTCTGTTGTTTCCTCTGTTTATCTGTCAGATTAACACCTTTAGAATCAGTGTTACCATCTTCATCTTCTGACCCCTCTCCTCCGACTACTGTTGATGTTTCTTCCTCTAAAAATTTAGGAAATATTTCATTAATATTGTAAACAAAATATATATAATATTCATCACTGCATATGAACAAGTGTTAAAATCACTTTCCATTTTTGTTCTTTTAAAATCAAATACTTTATTGATGCACTTAAAATAAGCCTCTCATCTCCTTTTATTCATACACTTGCGAATATGAATTAATTTTCACAATTATTTTTTTTATTCAGAATACAAATTTATGAATGTAAATATGAAATACTTTTTCTGATTTCCTGTAACAAACAAAACAAACACAAAATATTATACTGATACTGTTTATCATACCAGGCTCTCCACCCAAAATCTTGACACAAGCTAACTGTCCAAATCTCCTAGCTATATCACGAGGAAGTTCTCCAGCTTGATTGGCAATCGACATGTTGGCACCCATCTCTATTAACCATTGTAACACATGGATATGACCCTGTCCAGCAGCTGAATGAAAAGTATAATGTTCATTATAAAGAATTCATAAGCTAATTATAAAAATTTGTAAGGGGTTCCCCGGCCCAACCTTGTGTCTTGCCTACGATTGCTGCTGTCAGTGTAAAAGTGTAATGTTGACTTAAAAAGTTAGTCAGTAAAATACAGAATTAAAAAAAAAAATCAAACTTTTTCTTTAGATGCTATTTCTTGGTCTGGAAGATTAGCTTCTGTCAAAGTTTCATAACCATAATCCATGAAGGTTTACAAACTTATTATGTCAAAATAATTGAACCTCAGACTGTCTGTAAATGTTAACCTTAAAAAACAAAGTCCATCTATCAGAAAAATACTGAAAAAAAAAATGTATTTTCAAAAGTTTGCTTCAGACATTATCTCTTAATCATAAAAAAGCTTCTGCTAAAGTTTCATAAAATTCTATGAAAGTTCGACAAAGTATTGGATGTGTAACAAACTTTAACTGCTCTGGATACTGTATTTTGGTCATAAACAAGCTTCTGTCAAAATTTCATAAAATTCCATGAAGGTTTGACAAAGTTATTGATGACTGAAAAACTCTAACCTCAGACTGAATCTGAATTTTAACTGTAAAAAGAACTAAGTCCATTTATCAGTAAAATATGGAAAAAATGAAAGTAAATAATTTCAAAATTTTGCTCTGGATACTGTATTTTTGTCATAAACAAGCTTCTGTCCAAATTTCATAAAATTCCATGAAGATTTGACAAAGTTATTGATGTCTAAAACAACTTTAACCACAGATTGAACTTAAATGTTGACCTCGCTGACGCCAATGACGCAATCTAGGATCGCTATGTCTCGCTTTCTTGACATAAATGTCGAAGGCTTGACAAAAATAAGAAGATGGTATGATTGTCAATGAGACATATTTCCACAAGGTACCAAATGACGAAGTTAACAACTAAAAGTTACCGTACTGCTTAGACTGTCTGATCTAGATCTCTTGCTTATAAATCATGAAAATATATCAAATGCAAGGACCATAATACCATTGTAAGTGGCCAGATTCAAATTTAATACTGGTCAACATGTTTCGCTGCTTTAAGTGACTCTTTCATGATAGCTACAAATTATTGAGGAAGCATTGAAGTATTAACAGGGAATGAACTGTCAAACTGGATTTTCTGTATTTTGAAAGGCGCTTTCAGGCTTTTTTACCTGCCACATTCTATGCCTATTTTCCAAGCTATCAAGGACCACAACTCCTGAATGGCAAAATTGAAAATTGTCATATAAAACTTGACCACCATTTTGTCATCAGTAACACCACATTAAAATTTTAAGAGCACTGGTTGAACGGTTCAAGTCATTGAAAAGAAACAACAATAAAATGCCATTTTTCAATCCATCAAGAACCATAACTCCTGGACGGCAAAAGTGAAAACCATTAATATTGATATTAACCTCCATTTTTTCATCAGTAATAACATATTAAAATTTTAAAAGCATTGGTCAAGTGGTTCACAAGTAATTGAACGGAAATGACATAAAGTGCCATTTTCTAATAGACCATGGACCATAATTCCTGAACAATAAAAGTGAAGATCATCAATATCAATCTTGACCTCCATTTTGTCATCAGTAACAACATATCATAATTCGAAAACATAGGTAGATGGATTCATTAGTCATTGAACAGAAACGAGACAAAGTGGCATTTTCCAACAGTATCAAGGATCATAACTCCTGAACGTAAAAAAGTGAAAATCATCAATATCAAACTTGACCTTCATTTTGCCATTAGTATCATTATATTAAAATTTGAAAAGCATTGATTGAACGGTTCCAAAATCATTGCACAGAAACTGTTAGCCAGTGGCCCACCCTTTGGAAAACCCAGTTAAAAATGTGGTGTAACTCAACAGTAAGTTACAGGACAAAGACCCTTGTAATGGCGATCAACTTTATGTACAGATATTGAAAATGAAAGCAGAAAGTTAATTAGTTATTCATAAAAGCACTAGTTTTGGTCTTTGTGTGTGCTAAAAGAACAAGTTATATAGTAAGAAATAACAGTATATTGACAATAACTTTATCTGTAATATCAGAATTACAAAAGTCAATTTAAGCTTATCATATGGAAACTGTTTGTTACAGTCTGACATACTGACAGACAAAGCTGCAATTATATGCTCACTTATAAATATATCTACAACTTTTTGTAGAAAACAGTATAGCGCGGTTTACATACCTTTATGTGCAGGTGTAGCACCTTTATCGTCTCTCTCGTTGATGTTTACAACACCATTTTCTATCAGCATGCGTAGATGTCCTAAGTCACCATTGTAGGCTGCTACATGGGCTGGGAAAGCTAAATCTGTAGATAACAAACATTTGATGGAAATGAATTTTTATTTATGTGATAGTTGTTGCTTAAGATTGCAAAACCAGCCATATGTAGCACATGTTCTAATGTAAAACAGCCTATCTGTGTTGAAGGCCGTACTTTGACCTATAATGGCTTACTTTTACAAATTGTGACTTGGATGGAGAGTTGTCTCATTGGCACTCATACCACATCTTCTTATATCTATCTAGTTAATGTTAGATTTCTATACGAATTCATAATGACAATACCTCTAATGGAGGACAAAGCCCTTATCATAGTTAAATAAAGTGATTTTGAAAATAATATTGGTAATACCAAATCACTGCTATTATTCTCTTCACACTTCCTCTCTGCAGATTTTTCTTTAGATTCCATGAACTTAGAATTGAGCAAATTAACAAAACATCTTTTGTTAAAAATATTCAAAGCTTCATAAGACGAAAAAACAAAAGAAAATTCAAATCATGTGATCAATATTACTGATCCAAATTGATCAGATATCAAACACACCAAGTTGCCTGTCTTTGTAATTTGAAGACATCAATTACTTTATTTCATAAAATAAAACATATTTGAATAGTAGTGAAATGTTACTTGGAACATTGTTAAAAAATAGTGTGCATTTAGGTAGGTTCCTGATAAAGTACATTAAAAAAATAGTTATTCATAAAGATCTGTCTTTTTTAAAGGTATTAAGGTAATACCTGCCTGAAATTATTTTGTCTTAATTTAAGGTATATATAATGTCCTAAACTGAAGGTTGTTGCTTTGTATTGATTTCCTAAATATGTGTTTGCTCTTTAGTTTAGTCTGTCTACCAATACCAAAATGCTGTCCTCTCCTCATTTTCTTAAACAAAACAGTAGCAGTAACCTACTTTCAGTTTCCTCAGGATGATCTCTTTCCCATTCCAAACCATTGATATAATCAATGACATTTTCTTTGTAAAACTGTTGTGCCAGATCTTTTGGTGTCTCTCCTTGGTCATTCCTGGCCCCTAACACATGGAGTGGTGTAACCCCAATACTGACTAGGTACTTAAGACAAGGAAGCTGTCCTTCTGATGCTGCTAAATGTGCTAGGTAAAACAAAACAGACAAAAGTTATGAAACATTCAGCCATTTTGATACTCAGAAAGATGAGAAATGAGGAGATACTTTAATTCCTATTATATTAGTAGAAAGATGCATTAAAAAGATATTTAGGAATATTTACTGTGGATTCATTTATTTTTGTGGGTGTAAATTGTGGTTGATTGAGGAAGAATTGTATTTACGTGGATAATTGATTTTGTGGTTTTCCCAATGTCTACATAAATGATCATACAAGCCTATGAAAAATTTGTATCTTGTTGAACATGATGTCTTTATACTAAATCCATTGGATGTGTACTGATTGATTCTTTAGTCTGGGAGAACATGATTGATTGATCAGTTGCTATATGTATTGGCTTTGGACATGCTTTCAGCAACTGTGAATATGCACTCTTAGAATGGTAATTTGTTTCTTTTGACTTAATGTTAGTTGTTTTTTGTGCAGATCTAATAAGTCAAGCCATTGTTGACTGCTTTTTTTACATTTTGTTCTTATGTTGTGCTGTTATACCATTGTCCAAGGTCAGTGGGAGGTTGAGCGCTCATAAACATGATTAATCCCACCACATTGTATGTGTGCCTGTCCCAAGTCAGAAACCTGTATTTCAGTGGTTATTTTTGGTTGCTGTCTGACATTTTTGTTTTTGTGTATTGTTTTGTCATAAATCAGGCAGTTGGTTTTTTTTCTTTCAAATTGATTCTTATTTTGTCATGTCAGTCTTTTACAGCTGACTATATGGTATGGGTTTTGCTCCTTGTAGAAGGCCATGTGATCACCTATAGTTGCTTCATTTGGACTCTGCTGGATAGTTGTCTCATTGGCAATCATACCACATGCCCTTATTTTATATTTTATTATGACATGTATGGTACATGTAGTTATAACTGTAAAAAAGGTAATCTTGAGACCAAAGTTACCCCAGTCCTTTCAATTTCTAGAATTCATTTGCAATCTGTAATCAAACTTATAATGTTGGTACGAATGGCATTGTTTCAATTTTGGTATTTTCTATTCAATTGGAAACAAAAACAGAACATCAATTGTTATTTTAATTTCTTTGGGCAAGAACTATGTGTTTTATCAAATGGAAATGATGTATCTCTTTATATCTTCAAGTGAAACGAAAATTAAGACAAATGAAATAAAGCTATGGATATCTTAATCCAATTAGCTGAGGGGTTCTTTATATATCATCTTGGAGCAAAACAAATTTACATTTTGGAGAAATCAGCAGCTATAACTCTGGAGTGGTAAAAGTTGAATCAATGATAGCTAGTCCAACCCTACTTTTAGTTTAAGTGCTACCATGATGATATATAATATTCATTAGAATAGAAATGAATTTGATCAACTGGATTTCTATTTAACATTTGGACTAACAAATTGGCAACAATGGAATGACTGACATGTTCATGGCTATAAATACTCTATCCTTCTAGACCAACTAGCCATATATAGGGTTTGGTGAAAATAACAAAGTATAATGTACTGGTAGGTAATCAACTAAATGGTAGTTTTATATAAGTAATTAAACTTTCAGTATTTTTGTGGTTAATTTTGGCTTCTGTTCAACTGTTCATACCAATTTATCTATATTTTTAATGATCCTCCATTAAGTCTCAGTTAAAGTACTTCATTGTACAATGTATTTACTGGTCACAGCAAATCTAAACCAAACTATGTACAAACCTGGGGTATTGCCACAGTTATCTGTATGGTCTACTTCAGCACCCCACTTAATCAACATCTGTAGACATCCCAGACGTCCATGGTAGGAAGCACAATGCACTGGGGTCCAACCATTCTTATCTGTGACATTCACATCCTATTTAAAATGTTATATTTTATAAAAGCATTTTAAAATTATTCATCTATAAAATTTGTATATATTTAAAAATTTATAGTATCGCTTTCCTGATTAATTAATTTGAAATAGAAATTACTGTATAATGAAGTATTAACTTTAAAATTTTTAGGATATGCAATGATGCAATTACAACTTAACCTTTGTCAATTATTTTCACTTCTGCTATTAGTTAATGGAAGATGGTTGCTTGGTTTAGGACTGTTTTCATCGTCATCTTTTACAACATATACAACTTTATATATGTAGCTTAAATTCTCATTGACCATTCCCTGACTGTATGCATATTATCATGAAAACTTCACCCAAAAACTTATTGTACTGTCCTATATATGAAGCAAGGAAAAATCTTGATTTTGATGCGACAGTAGCTCTGTAGCTTTTGTTTTTTGCTGAAGAACTTTAAACAAACATCAAGAAAGAATAGAAATAAAAGTAGTTTTCCTCAGATACATGAATATTTCTTAGTATATCTTTTGCTTAGTATACATATCATTAAGAATTTTGTTATCTATCAAACTTACAACACCAGCTCGTAGAATGGTACACAATGTGAAGGAGTTGCCATGTGCTGCTGCTAGATGTGCTGGTTGACTACCTCTAACATCTTTTGATGTCATACTTACACCATTATTTACTAATGCCTGTAAGTAATATTAATAAATAATGATTAATACAAAAATCTTTTCATTTTTATATGTTAATCATTGCCAATTCCTGAGAAAACTGGTGACAGCAGGTAATAATGGCAACAGGAGTTGCATACAGAGAGTATGCTATGGAGAACATGACAAGTTGATAATTTTATTGGAGTTTATATTGCCTAAGCTTAAGTTTTCAGTATTGTCTGCTGTTTATATACACACCTGTTATAATTGTTTTACCTTTAGTGACCATAGACAGATGATGATCATTTGCTCATGTAACCTTTTTTTTTTATTAAAATAGGGAATTTAAATTTGTTTGAATCACTTTTTACTTTATTATTATTGAATTATATTTAAGAGTACAGGATGTATTATTGTCTTCTATGTTGACCATTGTTCTTTCTCTACAATCAATAGAGTAAGTATGCCCATCTATACTAATTTATTAATCTTTCTTATAAATTAAAGACATATTTAACACAACAATGTTAAAAGGCAAAAATCAAGTTGCTTATCCTCTTACTTATTTACACCATACAATTTATATACCTGCATACACGCATCCTGTCCTCTGATAGCTGCTATGTGTGCTGGTGTCCATCCTCTAGATGTTGCTACTGTAGCATCAGCTCCATGCCATAGCAACCAATGTAAACACTGAAACAAACACAATGGGGTGTGACATTACATAAATTTAACATTTTAAGGGTAAACAGTTTCAGGGGAATATACTGTATGAAATGATAAATGTTCTATGTCATTATCAACAGTTTTGTGTTACATACTTATCTATTATTCATAGTAAAGGTTTATCTGGTCACCGAAATAAATATTTAATAAATTTTATAAAAAATTTTATTATATACATATTGGAAGATGAAATTTTTTTTTCAGCCTATTTCTATCTTTTTGGGGGGCAATGTCGGTAAAAATTAGAATAATAGAAAATTTGAAAAAATATAAAAACAATAGAGAATTTAGTCTTTCTAAGAAAATGTAGTGAAACAATGCTGGTGACGATACTGATTCAAAGTTATTTCTAAACAACAATCATACATTTTAAAGAAAGTGTTTGTTAAACTGTGTTATTAGAAATAAAAATGCAGATGTGCATGACGTTTTATTTCCATTATTTATCCAGATATTTGCATTAGAAGCTTGTGAAACTGAAATTATTTTTTTTGTTATCTTTGCTGCATAAAAAAAATATTGGAAAAAATCATGTATATACAAAATCTCAAGCTCTTCCTAGTCACCAATTTTTGGAGTCTGCTCTTTTCACATGAACTTTTAATATAGAAATGTTGCCGCTTCGTGAATATAACAATTTTTAAAGTTGTGTCTGTGCAGATTAAATAAAAAATTAAAGATAAATATTTTATACAAGTAGGTTCTCTGTTTAAAAATTTTATGAATTTTTTTACAATTTTATGAATAGCTATATTTAGGTCATCTCGATTTTTTTGTACATCTAATAGCAGTCTTCTCGATGAATTCGCATTCAATGTTTATTATCAGGATAAATTGTGTTTTAATTTGCTTAGTAACTTAATTTCGAAATTGTTAAATCTTTGCAGCATATCAATCAATTCTTTTAGTATTTTTTTCCTAAACTTCTCTAATCTAGCTTCATACATAAACTGAAAATAAATTAAAGTTGGTACTCAAGGAATTTATTCGCATAGCAACATTTTAAACCAATTTTACACAAAGCACCTATATATATGTAAGACTCAGATTGACGTCCGGTCTCAGTTCGACGTCTGTTCTCTAATCGACGTCCGTTCCTCAAATTGACGTCCAAATCTGACGTCATAATGAATAAGATTCCAAATCGACTGCTAATTCTATGTCCCTCTAAAAGACGTCTTTTTGTTGTTCTCAAATCAACATCCAATAATTGGCTTCTCTAATCGACGTCCTTTTTTTACATTCTTGCACAATGACGTCACAATTTTGATGAAAACAACTGTCATATTTCTGATTTCAAACGCAAATTTTCCGAAAAAAAATGGTTTCGTTGAACCTTAAACTAGAACAGTTGTTAAAAATATAAGATTTTAAATCTTGCAGAGTCCAAATAATAATACTTTTCAACTATTGCCTGTATTTCTTTTTTCTGTCTATTGTTTGAGACTGTTTTTGTCTTTCAATTATCTTTGTTGTTGTCTCATTGTTGTATATCCACATGTCATTTATTTACTAGTATATGAAAATCAAAGAAATAAGACAACATAGATCGAGTGGTTTAACTTCTTTCACCAAAATATTAATATGCATGTACATGTAATATGATGTCAGTGTTTGTCTCATTGTCATTTACGGATGTTTGTCCTTTTATCTTGATTTAGTTGATTATTTGGGAAGGGATGTTGTTTACTTTTTTTATCTATAAGAGGAGACTACGATCGATAGGATGTTGTTTTGGTAAGTCATGGCGTCACATTGGACGTCAATCTGAGTCTAATATATATACATGTATAGCCTAACATTATATCGAAATTTTGTTTTTATTTCAATTTATTTTTATTGTTACTATTTAACAGGTAGTTTTCTTGTGAATTTACAATTAATAGCATCCTTGCTGAAACATGAAAAACATTGAAAAGATTAAGTTTTCAGTACTTACAGGGGAGGTAATATTTTGACAATAGATTTCCCATTGAATATGCAGTTATTAGAGCTTAAAATTAAAACCCCTTTAAAATATCAAGAAATAGTATATGTTAGTTTTAAAGTTGGCATATTTTTTTAACAAAATTATAAAACATTCCAACATTCTAATTTTCTCTGAAAAATAAAAGATTAATCACAATAATTATTAAATCATTGAATATCTTAAACTTTCAACTGATAAAAAAACAATGGATTGGTTTTATAGATTTGATTAGTTTTAGACAATTCTAAGATTGCTTTGCAACAATATTGATGGTGCATTTTATACAGAAGTACATTTGTTTTAAAAGAATTCGTTCAATTATATAATTATTTCAGAAAATAAAAGAGATGAATGGTTTTTTTCTTGATTTTTAGTTCAAGCTGAACATGCCGAAGGTGTATGCAAATTGTTTAAAAATCTTTGACCATTTAAGCATTTTACTGTAATTTGACCTTAAGTTTAAGATACATTTTATATTACCTCAAGTGCTCCAGAATTACATGCAGTGTGTAGTGGTGTGAATTTATCTTTCTCTTCAACTTCATTGATACTGGCACCATTCTTCACCATAGCTTCCAGTTCCAATACATCTCCAACCTCAACAGCTCCATGGATACCTGTATACTTCTTCTTTGCTCCTGTAAATGATTTATCTATATTAATAACTCTTGGAAAAAAGGTAAACTATAAACATTTATCTTCAATTTGTACAATTTTCCATTGATCCTACTGCCTAATATTTGTTTAGATCATGGACACGATTCTCAAAATACTCGAAAATATTAGGCAAGACATCACCTAACAATGCAGAAAAGTCGGGTGTTCATGTCCATCTGCATCAATTTATCAATGAAATGCATGCAACTTCATTCATACCGAATAACTACCACAACGTTTTGTATGCATAAAAGTAGATTTTATTAACTAAATCATTTTACCTTATATTCTCAATCTCAACTGTATAAAATAAAGAGCTGCGCCATGAGCGCATGATATGCTCGTCGCTTTTTCAAAGAATAAAGTTCCATAACTCCTCAATGTCATATCAGAAATTTATAAAAAACTAAAGGGAGGTTATTTTAATAGATATAAACCAGTCACCAACGTTGCATGAAAACTGCTCAAAGAACTTAAGAGTTATTGTCTGAAAACTGGAAAATAATAAAACCCCATAACTCAGAAACGTAAAATCGAAAATTTATAAAAATGAAAAGGGAGCTCACATCAATAGATATAAACAATTCACCAGAGTTTCATGCAAATTGGTTAAAGCGTTTTTGAGTTATAGTCCGACATGTTGACGACGGACAGACAGACAACGTTATACCATAATACATCCTGAAACAGGCGTATAAAAAATAAGGTGCCCACTAGTCTTTGTTGGAAATGTCCAATACAGATGTGTCCAAAATAGCGCCAAAGTGTCTTGTACCAACATTAAAGATCTTTATTGACTAATCATGGACCCTCAATGGGGCATGCACTCAAAATATAACAATTACAGTCACAATGATTATAGCATAGCAAATTATACGTGTGTTATCAAAGATACATTTGTAATGCACAAAATATTAAACAAAGAGGCAAATAATATATTGTATGATATGTATCATGGAATATTACGTAGTTAATATTAGCATGTAATTAGATTGGAGGGTTTCTAATAAAAAAATCGCTTATTTTAACATATTCCCAGTATAAACACATTCGTTTTTGGCCAATTGTTATGATGTACCTCAAGTCGGTAAGAAATTGCATAAAGCGAAGTTTGATTTAATTAACGTGTTTTTGGGGGCAAAGGGGTCGGAGAGCTACCCCATTAATACGCTAATTGTTAACCTTAAATTATATTAGATATTTTTACCTGGCATCTTATCAGCTTGGTTACCAACAATGTTTACATTAATTTACAGGCTCGCAGAAAAGAAGTATAACGAATATAATGTGAAAACACTGAAATTCTTTAAAATTTTAAAGTATCTTTGTATTTTGCATCAATCTCAAAGTAAACCATGAGTATAAAATTGAACAGTTTGATTTTGTAGTGTGGGGGGGGGGGAGTAACAGTCCTGACGTCCTGGAGAGCACCCTTAACATTTTTCTGCATATTTTTTTTAAAAAGTGAAAAGTAGTGTATGTTTAAAAATATTAAACGTATGACCACAAAGAAATGTATTGTTTTTTTTTTTTTGTTGACAATTGAAATTGTTAAAAAATTGAAATAAAAAATCAATGAAGCTATTTACTGCGGAAACCGGAAGTAAAGAGAAATAAACAAACTGGAGACCTCGTGGGAGCTGATTGAAACAGCATTCTAGATACCAAAGGCAAAGAGTAATTGCAGTTTGTTTCAATGTATTCATGTTTTGTAGAATCCTTTCCATACTTCTGTCGTACAAATTGTGTTTAAGCCTATTGTCACAGTTGAACCTTTGCCTTTATAGTTATTTATATATTATATACACAGTAGTAATGCTAGTATGGCCTATGGGGCTGTTTAACGACTTTATATATCCTTAATTGTTTTACAATGGTAGTCTCAGCTTATTTACACCAAACAGTGTATATATAAACTGCCAGTCACCCCAATTTAAGAACAAGTCTGACAGTTGGTATAAATATAAGATTTGATATGATTGCCGATGAAGTAACTGTTTCTTGTCATTCTGAACATTGCTCTTCTCCAGCCATGCCGAGATCTCTGACTTGTTGCTGTTAGTGTTAGGTTTCTTTGAGTCAGGATCTTAGTGACTGTGATACGGAGCATTGTCCATTACAACTACATACAGAGGCGGCAGTTTAAGGATAAGTGTAACTCTGAACCACTCTGTAAAGTGCTCCTTATTTATCTCATCATGATAATCTGAGCTGTTGGTTTTTTCGACTCAAATATAAGACTACATCTGGGGATTAGGCCTTCTTGAGAGGAGCCAACAATATGTGCTATAATTAAAATTACAAGTGTCATTTGGTCATTCCAGGTGTTATTTGGATAATGACACATCATTCTGTCTTTTGGGTTATTCTAGCAGGGACACATCCAGGTATTTCTAAAGGGGGTGTAAGTCCATCACTTTATTCCACTGATTAGATCATGTTAAAAAAATTGTGGACGATTTTGTGCTAAAAAATTATATTAATCGTTTGAAACTTGAGATTTACTTTTTTATGGCAATCAGGTTTTTTTTTTGGGGGGGGGCAGTATGCTCTAAACTCCTATGCAGTGTCTTAAACAGTTTTATCACTGAGGTATTCGGTGTTATCACAGTTCAGCTGTGTTTTTGAAAATAAGAAGATGTGGTATGATTGCCAATGAGACAACTCTCCACCAGAGACCAAATGACATAGAAGTTAACAACTATAGGTCACCATATGTCCTTCAACAATGAGCAAAACCCATATCTCATAGTCAGGTATAAAAGGCCTCAAATGACAAATGTAAAACAAACGATAAAAACTAACAACCTGATTGATGTACAAAACAATGAATGGGAAACAAATATGGTGTACAGCAACCAACGACAACCACTGAATTACAGGCTCCTGACTTTGGACAGGCACATGCAGATTCTGGCGGGATTAAACATATTTGCAGGCACCCAATCCTCCCCTAACCAGTGTTCTCCCCATAAATTGTTTAAGGCGCAAACATTTGTAGCGCATAACCCTTTTTTTTGAGGTGAACTATTGTGACACGAAACAATCATTCAGAACTACTAAATGAATTTAAAAGCTTCATGACAGTCTAAGTGTTTAATTATGTACACTATTTATAAAATATCATTAAATGAAATATAATCAATTTACACCCATTTAAAACACATTGATCATGCTGATATCACAGTCCATTTATAGAGTTAAAATTTAATTTAAGAGACCAAATTTATTAATTTCAAGAGAATATTCTCCTGTTCCTTTGAGCCTTAAAGTGCTGTACAGCTTTAAATATTTCCATATCTGGTGCATCTGCTCCTTCTAAAAATAATAGATTATCAGCAGTTTGTAATTTTTGGAATACAACTTTAAAAAAAAAAAAAAAAAAAATGAACAGCTGATCAATTTTGAAGGTTGACATTTCAAGATCGCTTCCCTGTGTATTTGTCACACACTTTTCTTTGGCAGGTAGAAACCTGGCAAATTCTTCAAAGTAAAGTCCAATTAAATTATTTACATATGCTTCTGCGTTTCCGTTCCTAACTATTGACATCGAGTTGTGTATTGTTATAGTTTTCTAGTGCAAGGACCAAAACAAGACACAACTGATTTATTTTTTTAAAGATGACAATTTAAGAAGAATTTTATTTGCAAAGAACAAAATCTTACATTCTATCCCAAACTATCGATTCATGAATTTATCATAAATATTAGTTTGCGTTACTTTTTTTTTCACATAAAACGTTTGACTTCCATTCATAAATATATTTGTAGTTATGTATTACAAAGTTAGCATGTGTTATCATCATGTTCATTGGTTGTATTAAAATAGATTTTTACTATTGACCAATGAGAAAATTCAATATTTAATTCGGCATTATTGTAAGGAAAGCCATGCTTAAAAATGTTTCGTATTTGTATTGCGATCTTTTCCCTCAATTCAAACCCTGAAACACTGAAAAAGGGTATCCAAGAAAAACATTTATCTATTCGATGATAATCTATGCAATTATGCAATTATGCAATCTGATAATGCAAATACAGGTAATCAATAATCACGTAATTTGGTGTACATGTAGTATTGATTTTCATCTCAGCACAAAAGTTTTCGAACAGTTCATAATTGAATATGAAAGTTAACACACTGCGGGATCAAGTATTAAGGGGGGATAGCGGCCAATTAAGGCACTGCGGGATCAACGAAAATGTTTTGAAGGCGCTGCAGGACCGCAGTGTCATATCGCCTTGGGGAGAACACTGCTAACCTAGGGCAGTGATGTAACAGCACAACATAAGAACAAACTATAAAAATCAGTTGGAGATACAAAGTAGAAAAAAAACAAACAAAAACACAGACCAGACATGTCAGTGATATTGTTGTCTTTTTTCAAAGCTACTTCTACCCTTTTTTTTGGGGGAAAAATGCATCATTTTTTTGGAAATTGGGAAGTTTTGAATAAGAATAAATTGTACTAAAACTTGAATTGTGAGACATTTTCAACTGGAAAGGAACTTTTTGGGGAGGGGAAAGAAACGGAAAAAATGACGGTACTTAATACGTTGAAAACCATGTGTGTTACAAACACTACAGGTTTCTAATCTGAAACATAGATCTCGAAAGCGCTTTCATAATATCAAAATAATAACATGAATACGAAACTTAAGTACATTACTACTGATGCCATCACCGTTTGGGAAAAATGTACAACTTATTGGGAGGAATTTTATGCCATTTTTTTTAGTAATTAGGAATTTTGTCTTGGGGAAGAAGCCGAATTTCGAAGGGAATTTGAGGCAAACAATATCACTGCATGTATTTATACATTCCCACAACAACAAAAGACACTAAGTACAGACCTGAGAGTAATCACAGTTACTGGCAGCTAGTTTAAATCCAATAACTATTAAAAGAATCATGTATCCATGGAGATGATTAAGCATATCTTATATTTTAGAAATTATTTGGTCTTGTTCCTTCAGTAATTGTTCATTGACCTTGAGTATTTTGATTAATTTACATCATGTACATGTTCAGGTATTGCTATTTTATTTCAACTTATGCATTTTAATATCAAAAGGATAAACGGGCAACACATATCTCTGTGTCAATAGTTTATTCATAATTTTGACAAGTTTTTAAATCATGAAAGTCATGAAAATAAATCATTCAAAAAAATAAGTTGGTTTACAGTACAAGTATAGGGAAAAAAAAATTAAACCTCTCAGAAAGAATGATAGAAATGTTTTCTAAATGTGAAAGTGTGTGCATTTATTTATTTATTACAGTTTGAACTTCTAATATGGCTAATAATTCCTATTTTGGACAACAAGTGCCCCAGCAGTCAAATCAAAACTATACATATCAGCCTTGGGGTAGTGGCACTTCGTCTCAACAACCGAATCAAAATTTTGCTAGAAGCAGTAACCAACAACAGTTTCAGCAGTATGGAAATAATTTCCAAAGAGGAAATAGTAATGATGGAAACTGGTATTCAGGCAATAACTATGGACCAAATCAACCACAGAATATGAATCAAAGAGGAAATTATTATCAAAACAGACCACCCATTTCAAATAATAATTTAAATCCATCTATTGGTCCAAATTTTGATAATGCACCGCCTTCTTCCAATTACAATTATGGACAGCAGAATTGGACAGATTCTGATTATGGAAATGATTATAATTTTTACAGTGGCGGAAGTAATACTTATGGAAGTAGTGAAAGTTATACATCTCAAAATCCAAATTATCCTGGTAATAAAAGGGGGACTTTCAATGAGAGACCAAATCCAACTATGTTTGGAAACAACAATCAGACTCCATATATGAGAAATAACACAAATTCAATTGGCAGTGGTAAACCAAATCCATTTAGTAACAATAATCCAAATCAATTTGGAAACAATAATATAAATCAATTTAATAACAAAAATAGCAATCAACAGAATCCGTTCGGAAAAAGTAATCCTAATCAGTTAGGAAATGGAAATACAACTCATTTTGAAAATAAAAATCCTTCGTTTGGATCTAATAGTGGAAACTTTCATAAAGTGAATCACAGACAAATACATAGGAAGCAACAAAGACAGAAAAAGAAAATGAAAAAGGCAAGTTTAGCTATAACATTCAAGGTTGCTACTGATTCTTACATGAATAACTTGAGATGGAGGGCATACATGGCATACAAATGTATATATAGGTTTGAACGTTGTTTTTAATTTAGACTTGTTTATATTTTTTCGTTTGGGCTTGTATTATATTTGCCTTTGGGCTTTTATGATCCGTTCATCCTATTTCGACTCTTCAAAATTCAAGAGTCTATCCTAAATTGAGGTAAATTATATGGCCTTCCAAATACCGTTTCTATTCCTAACATCACTGAAGAGACATTAATTGTCGAAATCCGGATATGGTGTACTAATTTTTGCACCTTTGGTTGCGGTATACCATCTTTTCCGCAAGTTTATTGTTTTCTGTTTGGTATTAAATTAATAGTTAAGATCCATTTTGTTACATCTGGTGATCTGTTTATTTGGCAATCGCCAATGGCAGTCAGCTTCCGCAAATTTACAGATAAAACATTGTTGGGCTGTTATTTAGACGAATATATATATATATATATATATACTTTTTCACTTTTTTGGTCTTTTGGAAAATGTTGTTTGTGCTGTATTTAGACCCCACTACCAAGAAATTTGTTTTGCATGCACACGTATAAAAATTGCGGTTTTTATCCAACGCAATAATAGGTTTGAACGTTGTTTTCAATTTAGACTTGTATGTATATATATATATATTCGTCTAAATAACAGCCCAACAATGTTATATCTGTAAATTTGCGGAAGCAAATTTTTTGTTCTTCCCTAGCCGGGATACGAACTCATGCTACTGAGATATCGTGGCACCAAATCGCCTTGCACTGTGCCCGATGTGCTAGACCACTCGACCACCTAGGCTCTACATATATATATGTCCATTAGACCTCAACCCAAAAACACAATAAAGTTAGAAAAGATAAGCAGAGGTCAACAAAGAATGTTCAACAAAAGACCAATTTCTGTTGCCACAAGTCAAATTCTAAATAGCCCAAATCTGGAGACATTGTGAATAAATTTGAAACACTACCATTAAAGATCTGCCATCAACACTAATTTCTTTCAAGTACAAATTAAAAACACCATAAGATACAAGACTGCAGCTCATATGTATTATAATGTTTATTTTTACAAAGATTCCGAATTGGAAATGCTAATTTTCTGGACAGTGAATATACATGTACCACCAGATGAATATGATACATTTGTACAATGGACTGGGATAATTTAATGTTCACCTTCATTAAAGCTAACAGTGAAATAACAGTATTTTTTCATAAATAAGATTGTAGCAATACCATTGGAGTTAACTCTATACTACTGCTATCTCCTTTTTTAACCCTAGACAAATGATCTTCCAATTCCTCCAAGCTGTTGAAAGTTGAAAATTGTAGTCATCATTATTTGATTATATGTAACACAATATAAAGAACCAAAGCTACATGTACAACACATATGTTGTTCTAGCAACAGTTATGATTTTCTCCCTCTTTAGAAGTTTGAAAAATTGTCACCATTGAGCAATAGTCATGATAGTATTTTCTTTAGAAGATCCACAATATTCTGATTTTCAGACCAAGCATTTCTCTGAAAAGTGTTTGTAATATTGGCAGATTTTATTAGTTTAATTAGATTCTATTGTCATAAGAAATAGGAAAAGTATGTTCAAATTCATTTTAGAAAACACTGTACTAACGTATTCAAAAAATCATTTCTGTTCATTTAGACGTTAATTTTTGTTTTTAACCTTGATGTAAAACTTCATAATCAATATCAGGAAAAAACAGACTATGCATTTACCACCAAATATTTTAATAACATCAGCAATATATGAACCTTTGAAAGAAATATTTTAATTTTTATAATTGTTTATTTTATAATTTGTAGGAAGAAGAAGTTATCAAGGGAGATAATCCAGAAGACAACAAATATTACTGTGACACATGTGACCGGGGATTTAGTCAGGAATATCATTACACTGAACATTGTGGCTATCATAAAAAGGTATAATTGACAGTGTTCCCACCTTCCCAAAATAAAAGAGCGGCCCGCCTTTTGTACATTAACCTCTGCCCTTCTGCCCATCAAACCTCTTTTGATGATTGGCTTCTGCTATTTATGTGATTTAAGATAATTGAACAAATACTAGTTATTTAATGCAAAATGAAATGATACATGTGTTCCATTTAAAACTGTTTATATACAGCATGTACACTTGACAAACCTTTTTTTCAGCATGTTTAGTGGGGATTACATATATCACATGTCTTAAAGACATATTTAAAAATAGACTTAATAGGAAAAGACAGCAAATGTTCAGTTTATTTCAGAGTTATTTGAAAGAAAATCATATTTTAAACATCCTTCCTGTTTTACCTCTTATATTTATAGTATTCGGAGCACTTTGATGTGCACAAATCTAATTATTAACATGATTAAGGGAAACTAATTGTCAATATACACTATTTGTACGTATTCACAAATAATTAAATGTAAATGATATTATTTGTGAAGTCATTTTAGTTGCCTGTTCGTTTTTATTGACTGATATCAGTACCAAAACATCAAAATTTTTATGCTTTTTTTTTCGTCATCAGAATTATGTGTGTTGCTTTATCTTATAATAACCTGATAAAACATGGAACTATCATCTTTAACAAACAATTGTCTGAATATGCTTAAAAATGTCCTAGAGTTTATCCTAGAAATATGGAATTTTGTTTTGAGGGGATTTGCTAACATCCAAATAATTTTCAAATTTTCAAAAATACTTTGCCATGATTACATTGCCTACTTTTATAGGTACATTTTCTATAGTAAGGAATATATCAGGTTTGATATTTTCGATATTTATTTCAATTTACAACAGAGCCCTAAAAATTTTGATGATGTATTAAAGTGCCCTTTGGGTCATCTAGCACCCTTTCTGCCCTGAGAATCAACCTGGAACACAGATTCATAATATTAATTTAATTTTTAAATGAATTATATTGACTTAAAGTTTAATTGACATAAAGGTTAATTTTTAGATGGCTTGGTTTTTTTTTTATAATTTGTGGTAGCTGACAAAAAAATAGTCCTGATAGTTGTGATGATAGTACATACATTTTATTTCCACCATGACTTTGTTTAGTTTACATGTATTAGTTTGTGATTAAGTCAGTTTATGAGGAACCACTAGTGGTATATCAATGATATTTGTGATGCAGTTGTATTAGCATTGAAACATCTTATTTCCATGGAGATTATTTGACCCCACCCCCTCAGTCATGGTCTATTGACTTTAAAACTTGTGCATAGTTTACTGTTAAAAGTTGTGATAAGTTCAGTTTAAGATGCTCTGCACCTTCAGTCATGGTTCATTGACTTTGTGCATAGTCTATACATGTTTAAATATTGCCATTTTAATTTCAACATTTGCATTTTACTATCAAAATTATATACAAAAAGTGAGACATATCTCTGTGTCAACAGTTTATTTATTGTTTATTCATATTTAGGTTATTAATTGATGCTAACTTATTTATTGTTTTGTATTAAAGAGGGTCTCCCTAGAAATAAGTATTGTATTTCTAGCTTTAGCAACCCTCAATGAGTAAAAATAATTCTTCTACTTATTTATCTTCATTTCATGGTAATATAAATATAGTGTCTAGTTTAATTACAGTTTTAATGTAAAATTATTTCAGTGTTCCTTTACTGGATGTTCCTTTGTAGCTGCTCCAAAACTTGTCAACCTTCATGTTCAGATGGTAAGTAGTTTATGTCTTATACTTTTTATACGACCGCAAAAAAATTTTGTGGTCGTATATTGGTATGACGTCGTCGTCGTCAGGCGTCGTCGTCCGAAGACACATTGGTTTTCGCACTCTAACTTTAGTTTAAGTGAATGGATCTTTTTGAAATTTGACCATAAGGTTAAATACCACAAAAGGAAGGTTGGGATTGATTTTGGGGGTTATGGTACCAACAGTTAAGAAATTAGGGGCCAAAAAGGGGCCAAAAATAAGCATTTTCTAGTTTCCAGACAATAACCGTGGAACGGTGTATTGATCTCTCTGAAATTATACTACAAGTTTCCATACCACAAAGGGATGGTTAGGATTTGCTTTGGGGGGTTATGGCTCAAACCGTTTAGGAATTAGGGGCAAAAAAGGGGGAAAAACAAGGTTGTCCTGGTTAATGGACAAATACTTTAGTACAAAACATAATTTAAAGCAGTGTAAGGGAGATAAATCAAATACATCATTGAAATTATCTCCCTTACACTGCTTTTAAATTATGTATAAAGTAATGGTTAATGAACAATAAAGATAATTTAATACAGTGTAAGGGAGGTAATCCAAATACAACGTTTTGGTTACTTCCCTTACACTGCTTTTAAATTATGTTTAAAGAAATGCATATTTATAAAGGAAGACCAGTAAAAATATCTGCAAATGTTGCATCTTTTTTTTTTTTACAAAAAAATCCATATGACAGATTTGACACTATATTTTTAATTCTATTATAAACTAGATTAAGTTAGCACTATGGTAAATTTAAATGGGTAATTATGGTTGCCAACTCCATTGGAAATTTGAATTGAGATTATGACCATATCTTGAGGGAAAGAATTTTTTTGGGGAAAAAAGGGGGGGGGATAAAAAGAAATTGTGGGAGGTCAATTTTTTCTCATTTCAGATTTCAGAAATTAAAAAGAATTATTCTTCAAATATTATTTTTTTTTCAAATTTCAAATATTGAAAAATTTCAAGAAGTAATCTTTAATTGCACAGTATGGCGCATTAGATTTGTAAAATCTTTGATCACATTTATTTATTTGTTATGCCGAATCTAACTGTGTATTTAGATTTTTAATTTTGGGTCCAGTTTTCAAATTGGTCTACATTAAGGTCCAAAGGGTCCAAAATTAAACTTTGTTTGATTTTAGCAAAAATTGAATATATGAGGTTCTTTGATATGCTGAATCTAAACATGTATTTAGATTTTTGATTTTTGGCCCAGTTTTCAAGTTGGTCCAAATTGGGGTCCAAAATTAAACTTTGTTTGATTTCAACAAAAATTGAATATATGGGGTTCTTTGATATGCTGAATCTAACCATGTATTTAGATTTTTTATTTGTGGACCCCGTTATCAAATTGGTTCATATTAAGGTCAAAAGGGTCCAAAATTAAACTTTGTTTGATTTCATCTAAAATTGAATTATTGGGGTTCTTTGATATTCCAAATCTAACCGTGTATTTAGATTTTTAATTTTGGGTCCTGTTTTTTTAAATTGGTCTACATTAAGGTCCAAAGGGTCCAAAATTAAACTAAGTTTGATTTTAACAAAAATTGAATTCTTGGGGTTCTTTGATATGCTGAATCTAAACATGTGTTTAGATTTTTGATTATGGGCCCAGTTTTCAAGTTGGTCCAAGATAGGGTCCAGTATTTAAACTTTGTTTGATTTCAACAAAAATTGAATATATGGGGTTCTTTGATATGCTGAATCTAAACATGTATTTAGATTTTTGATTATGGGCCCAGTTTTCAAGTTGGTCCAAATTGGGGTCCAAAATTAAACTTTGTTTGATTTCAACAAAAATTGAATATATGGGGTTCTTTGATATGCTGAATCTAAACATGTATTTAGATTTTTGATTATGGGCCCAGTTTTCAAGTTGGTCCAAATTGGGGTCCAAAATTAAACTTTGTTTGATTTCAAAAAAAATTGAATATATGAGGTTCTTTGATATGCTGAATCTAACCATGTATTTAGATTTTTTATTTGTGGGCCCCGCTATCAAATTGGTTCATATTGAGGTCAAAAGGGTCCAAAATAAAACTTTGTTTGATTTCATCAAAAATTGAATTATTGGGGTTCTTTGATATGCCAAATCTAACCGTGTTTTTAGATTTTTAATTTGGGTCCCATTTTTTAAATTGGTCTTCATTGAGGTCCAAAGGGTCCAAAATTAAACTTAGTTTGATTTTAACAAAAATTGAATTCTTGCGGTTCTTTGATATGCTGTATCTAAACATGTGTTTAGATTTTTGGTTATGGGCCCAGTTTTCAAGTTGGTCCAAGTTGGGGTCCAAAATTAAACTTTTTTTGATTTCAACAAAAATTGAATATATGGGGTTCTTTGATATGCTGAATCTAACCATGAATTTAGATTTTTTATTTGTGGGCCCCGCTATCAAATTGGTTCATATTGAGGTCAAAAGGGTCCAAAATTAAATTTTGTTTGATTTCATCAAAAATTGAATTATTGGGGTTCTTTGATATTCCAAATCTAACCGTGTATTTAGATTTTTAATTTTAAGTCCCGTTTTTTAAATTGGTCTACATTAAGGTCCAAAGGGTCCAAAATTAAACTTAGTTTGATTTTAGCAAAAATTGAATTCTTAGGGTTCTTTGATATGCTGAATCTAAACATGTGTTTAGATTTTTGATTATGGGCCCAGTTTTCAAGTTTGTCCAAGTTGGGGTCCAAAATTAAACTTTGTTTGATTTTAACAAAAATTGAATATATGGGGTTCTTTGATATGCTGAATCTAACCATGTATTTTGATTTTGGACATTGGACCATAATAGGTAAATTAAAAAAATTCAAGTACTTAGACCACATTCTTTCTGTGTCAGAAACCTATGCTGTGTCAAATATTTAATAACAATCCAAATTCAGAGCTGTATCAAGCTTGAATGTTGTGTCCATACTTGCCCCAACTGTTCAGGGTTCGACCTCTGCGGTCGTATCAAGCTGCGCCCCAGCAAAGCATTTTATTCTTTCATCATTTCTTTCATCAGATTCTTTTAGAAATACACTATCTTTCATTACACACTGTTCCCCTTGCAAGGCAATCTGTTTTGATACGGCCGCAAAAAAAATTTGTGGTCGTATATTGGTATGACGTTGGCGTCGTTGTCGTTGTCATCCAAATACACATTGGTTTTCGCATTTTAACTTTAGTTTAAGTGAATGGATCTCTATGAAATTTTACCATAAGATTCAATACCACAAAAGGAAGGTTGGGATTGATTTTGGGGGTTATGGTACCAACAGTTAAGGAATTAGGGGCCAAAAAAGGGCCAAAAATAAGCAATTTTGTAACTTCCAGACATAACTTGTGTGTTAGTGTATGGATCTCTCTGACATTGTACCACAAGGTGACATATCACAAAGGGAATGCTAGAATTGATTTCGGGGGTAATTGCCTCAAAATTTTAGGAATTAGGGGGCAAAAAAGGGGCAAAAAACAAGCATTTTTCTAGTTTCATGACAATAACTTGTGTGTAAGTGTATAGATCTTTCTGAAATTGTACTACAAGGTTCCATATCACAAAGGAAAAGCTGGAATTGAGTTTGGGGGTAATTGCCCAAAACGTTTAGGAATAAGGGGCCAAAAAGGGGCCAAAAATAAGCATTTTTCTAGTTTCCGGTTATAACTTGTGTTCAAGTGTATGGATCTCTCTGAAATTGTACTACAAGGTACCATACCACAAAGGGAAGGCTGGGATTGATTTTGGGGGTAATTGCCTCAAAATTTTAGGAATTAGGGGCCAAAAAGGGAAAAAAAAACCAAGCATTTTTCTAGTTTCAGGACAATAACTTGTGTGTAAGTGTATGGATCTTTATGAAATTGAACTACAAGGTTCCATATCACAAAGGGAAAGCTTGGTTTCAGTTTCGGAGTAATTGCCCTAAACCTTTAGGAATTTGGGGCCAAAAAACAAGCATTTTTCTATTTTTCAGACAATAACTTGTGTTCAAGTGTATGGATCTCTCTGAAATTGTACTGCAAGGTACCATACCACAATGGGAAGGCTGGGATTGAGTTTTGGGGTGATGAATCATAAGGGGGTTCACAAAATTGGGGGGGGGGGATTTTTTCCCCCTTTTTTTCCTTTTTTTTTTTCTTTAAAATTTTCCATTTTAAATTGGTTATTTCTGATTTATATATAAAAGCAAATAATAATGATATGGTTTGAATAGGTAAATTAAAAATTTTTAAGTTCTTAGACCACATTCATTCTGTGTCAGAAACCTGTGCTGTGTCAAATATTTAATCACAATCCAAATTCAGTGCTGTATCAAGCTTGAATGTTGTGTCCATACTTGCCCCAACTGTTCAGGGTTTGACCTCTGCGGTCGTATCAAGCTGTGCCCAGCGGAGCATTTTATTCAATATAGTAAGAACATAGAATAAATTTAACAGTTTACGTCAGAACTTCGAATTTGAATCAAAGAAAATTAATATCGTTTTTTTTTTTAATGTCAATCATAATTTGGGATGGCTAACTCGGCAACTGATTACCATAATTGCCTTTTGTTTATTTAGTCTTAAGGGATTAAAATCGGGATAATATATAAAATGTCCGGCTGGCTAAAAATAATTTTGGAAGCCCTGCTCAAATATTCAGTTTTCCGCACTTTTTTTCGTCATTCTTGAAGATATTGATTTAATAATTGGTACATTGTTTTATCATGACAAGTTACAAATCAAGTTTAAATTTTGTTCCGGTCTGATGATTTTGTGCAGAGTTATGGTCCTTGGACTTAGAAAATTCACTTAAATTATCAGTTTTCCACACTTTTTTTCGTCATGCTTGAAGATATTGACGATATTTGTTATATAGTTTACACCATGACAAGTTATAGATCAAGTTAGCATTTTGTTCCAGTACAATTAATTTTTAACCGGTAGGGGACTATGTATTGCCATGAATGCTTGTTATATATTAAGATACCTGCAATTAGATAC